GCCGGGAGCCGGCAGCCGGAGGCCTGGACGACCTGCCGCACCGCCGGGGCGCTCGCCGGCTCCTGCTCGGTCAGGCGAACGCTTTGTGGGCTCATGGGTCTGAACCCACACTCCCCAGCACCCACAGGCAACGCGGAGAAGCACGCGACCGGGAGGCGAAGGGCTCCTAATAGCGGAAGCGGAAATGCCACAGCGGAACCGGAAGTGCCTCCGAAGACAGTAAAACCCGGGAAGAGTCGGTCCGTCTCTCTTACGCAGTCCAAGTAGGACTTCAAAATCCTACTGGTGGGTGCCAGCTGTGCCACCTGGGGTGGGGCAGCCTGAGGAAGAGGGGGGACTAAATGCAAGTCTGGCTGCCCCTTCAGATGCCCGAGGACCTGGCACAGGGAGACACCCAGCTCCATGCTCACCACGCTGGCCTGGGGGGCAGAGCTGCACAGAGTGGGGAAAAGCCGTGGGGGACAGTGAACGTTGGCCGGTAGGCACGTTCATCTGGAGGACAGAGGCTGTCTCAGGAGGTAGTGAGCTCCCTGACACTGGAGGTGACCAAGCACGGCCTGGACACCTGCCTGCCGGGAACACTGCCAGCAGAGGGTATAACTTCAGCGCAAACAGCAGCAGCAAAGCTCCCGAGTACAGGGTCTAGGCTCTGCACCCTCCTCCTGGCGCCTGCCCGCACAGCCACGATGAGGGAAGCACAAACCAGCCTGGATCTTCAAAGGTGCAAGAGACAGAGACTTCTTGCTAACCTGCCTGCCGTGGCCATCAGCATCAGCTGGGACGCTGACTCGATCCTGCAAGTCATTTCAATTGTTTTTAATCGTATATTTAACACACTTAGACATTTTAAATAACATCAAAGGAGGATATGAGATTTTATGTTTGAGAATGCACAGGGGTTTATAAAGACGGAGACTGATTACCTCCCAATCTCTGCCACCCTGACCTTTCACCAGAGCCCTGGGTACACCAACCACTTCTCCCCGTGGATCGTCCACAGACATTCCAAAGGCGGCCTGGTCCAACTTTAACCCATCAACCCTCACTGTTCTGGGATGCCCCACCTGGTGAATATCATTATCCTTCCACCTCTCCACTGACATCTAATCAACTACCAAAGCACGGTTTTCCTACGCTGTTAATATGGTTACAGTCTGCCCACTGGTCACTCATTTCCACTACTATCTGATCTGAACCAGCAGCCCTCAAACTGTTCCTTCTCTCCTTTCCTTCATTCAAGAAGGTGACTCTCTATAGAAGGTGGCCTGGTCTCAATTCTTGAGAGTGGACCCAAACAGTACATGGCATTAGCAACTGCTGGTGGTCCCTGGGTGGGTACATGATTTAGGTTGGATAAGTCAGACTGAGGGAAAGGATTTTTATTTCATGCTTAGGAAAAATGGTTTCTCTCTCTTTCTCTCTCGTTGTACCTCAGAAAGAAGTATGCAAGTATCTGCTACCCCTGAAATATACACCAGCCCATTTAGCAACCCTCTGGAGTAAGCACCTTAACTTCATTTTACGGTTGAGCAAACTACAGTGCAGAGAGGTTAGGTAATTGCTTAAGGTCATGCAGTCAGTGGTAGGGCAAGGATCAGAACAAAGGTATTTCAGTCAACAAGCCCATGTCCTTTGTAATAATTCAGAATGCCCACGACATGCCAGACATTGGCAAAGTACTTTATACACGTTATTTCACCCTTGGCACATTTACACTGTGTACCAAGAAAGTATTACCCAAACATCCAAATACCCATTTATCCATTCATCCTTATACTTGCTCTAGACACACACACACACGCATCTATCCATCTACCCCAATAGCCAGCCACCCCCACCCATTACCCATCCATCTAGTCACTGCATTAGCTATCCGTTCAAATATCCACCTAGCCATCCTTCCATTCATGCAAAATTTATCCATCTAAATATCCAGTCAGCTGACCATCCTTCTATTCATCCAATCACCTATTAGTCACCCATTCATTTACCCAGCCAAACATCCACCCATATATCTAAACATGCATCCACCATCTAAACATTCAGCCAGACACCTATCCTATTCATCTAAACATCTAAACAGTCATCCATCCAAACCCCCATTCATTCACCCATCTATCCATCCACACAGCTAACCACCTATCCATATACTCATTGATCCAAACACCTACCCATCTACCCCCACACACACACACACACACACACACACACACCTAGCCACTCATCTATCCAGTCAAACATTCACTCATCCATCCAAACATCCATCCATGTACCCATCAGTTCCTTCAAACATCATCCATCTAAACTGCTTATAAAATATATACAATAAGGTTTTCAAAAAGAGTAAGATATTAGGATGAAAAAAAAGAAATGAGGGCTGAAGAATGGCTTAAAAAGCTGGTGAAAGTATGCAGAAATACATTCAGTAATTCTAGCACCATTTCAAAAGGTGGGCCACAGATATAGCTCTGAGCTTCCTAGAGGCCAAAGCAAAGAGGGAAACACAATCAGTTACAGAGTCACCACATCCATAGAGCACAATAAGACCAACTACTTTAATGGTGGTAAAGTCTGAGAAAAATGTTTCTTCCCCTGATTACAATAATCATACACCCCACTCTGATCACGATCCCCATAAGGCACTACAAAGAGATCGCTGGAAAGTCAGTAAAACAACTCTGGTCTGTTCCTTCCTTTGACTCCCCATAGCATAGGCCACAGTAGACATGGATGGGCTGAAGAGTGCAGGAATGCTCGATGCTCACATCTCTTCCCATAATCCATCCCCAAGGAGTTCCCACCACATCCGAGTCTCTCTTAGAATGATCAGTTCCTTTCCATTTCCCGGCTTGAGTGCTTCTGCTAGCTTCTGAGGCCAGACTGCTTTACCCCAGCATCCTGGACACAGAACATTTGCTCACAAAGGAGCCCTTCCTTTTTTTTCTGTGTCTGTGCCTTGAATTTTTGTGGTTTTTTTTTTTTTTTTTTAGATCATGTGAGTCTCCTCCTTTAATACATGAGAGATAAACACACAAACAAATCAACTTAACAAAATCTCTGCCAAAGCGAGTGGGTTTATTAAGGTAATAAACATCTGCAAGACCCACCAGCCCTGGAGGAGGCCCTGCAGGCCTTCAAGATGCCCCTCAGGCTCGATGACCTTTTTTTTGTTTTGTTTTTTTAAATATATCTTTATTGATTTCAGAGAGAGGAAGGGAGAGAGAGAAACATCAGTGATGAGTCATTGATCAGCTGCCTCCTGCACCACGCCCCCCCCCCCACTGGGGATGGAGCCCGCAACTGGGGCATGTGCCCTGACCGGGAATGGAACCGGTGAACTCTTGGTTCATGGGTCGACACTCAACCAACTGAGCCACCCCGG